CCACACCTCGGACGGCCTGGGGCCTCACCGCATCTCCCACGCCCGATAGTGGAGGTGGCGCTCGCTGGGACCACCTTTGTTGTTGCTAAGCTGAAGCGTGAGGGCTTCTCTCTCCCGGGCCACTTGTCCTGCCTTGCCCCTGGCTAGATGGACGGGGGAGTTGGTGCCGCTGCAGCTTGTTCATCCAAGTACCTGCTCCCAGGACGCTAAGAACACCCCCGGTGAATATTATGTCAGCACTGTGGCTCGCTAGCTCGGGGACTGACAAATGGAGTCAGACCTGGAATCCAGTCGTGGCCTTGTCCCTCACTAACTCCCAGATCTTACTTAGTAACTTTAACCTCCCCAAAGCTTCATCATTTGTAAAATGGAGAGAACCCAGTCTCAGAGTTGTGATGATTAAAGCAGATAAGGTGCATAAGTCACCTAGCAGAGTTTCTACCACATAGGTTCAAGTAAATAGACTTCCTAAGGAATCAAGCCACACTTGGTATTAGCGACTAGTTGAGTAATTTAGCAGCAGCAGAAGAGATGTGCAGTCTGTAAGCTGGACTGCTGAACCCTCGAAGAAATCGCTTGCATATTCTTTTTAACAAGAAGCCAACTAGGCCGATGTCTGAGTTACTTGGTCATATAGTAGCTGTTAAGACCTGCAGTGAGTTACTTAACCTCTCTGAACCTCAGTTCCTCATGTTAAATGAAGATGATAATGTGCAGCGTTGCTGAAAAGATCAAATGAGATAAAGACTATAATGTGCTTCATGCATTTCCTGGCACATAGTAGACACCCAGTAAACGATGATATCATTTACTTTAGCCTCCACTCACACCCCCCCCCCAATTGAATTCAATTGAATCAATAAAATTAATTGAACTCACAGAGTAAAATATGATCCTATAATCCCTGTGTAGGCTTTTGGAAGAGAATTGGCACTTCATTTTATTTCCAACCTCCTGCCCTAGTACAGAGTAATTGTAACACGGAGGCATTCCTGTAGGACCGGCGCTACCAAAAGATGTTAGCTTTCTAAAAATAATTTCACCAGAGGATGTAAACATATTTTCATTAAGAGGAAACCTGCAATAACTGAAAAACACCAGCACTCTTGGCCTCTGATATAAAAAATTTTCCTTACAGCAGTTTCCATTTTAGAAACCGAGAGGAAAAAATAAGAATTATTAAGGTAGGCTATTTAAGATACACTCTTGGAAACATTTGTTTATAGAAAGATTTCATTCTAAACCTTGTCTCAAGAACAGTTAAGGCTAGTGGAGCTCTTTTACAGACTAGCCTGTTCTCCCCAAGCTACAGTAAACATCTGATTCAGCCCCAGGGTCTATTGTATCACAACCCCTTTAACACTGAGCTGATAGTATTGTCAATTGCAGTGTATTTTTGGAAGAGATCCTACTTTGGGAGTTCTTAAATTAGTCCTAGCAAGTCTGCTTTTAAATTGACTTTTTTTTTTTTTTTAAATAGTACATGTTGACAGCAGAGAAACTAGAAGATTAAGTCAGATTTCAGATTAGTGAACTTGGGGGGGGGGGGTATTGTGCCTGCTTTTCCCACTCAAGATTCTATAAATACAGAATCTCTCTCCATGGTTCCTCACACAACAGATGGGTTGTTTTTGCAAACTCCATGGTGGTTATGTTGCTTTTTTGTTACTTTGGTCACTTTCTCACTCAATAGGTAGATTTCCAATGGTAGCCTTGGCTACTCAGGGCTATGCCAATTAAATTTGCAGATTTTCTTTAAATACTTAATATGTGTTTTTCTGCTTGAACTGCCCTAAAATTGTGTTTTTTAAGCAATCGAGTTATCCCAGCCCTGCCAGCCCTGCTCCCCTAATTTAATTACATTTCCTATCCCAAGAACACCTAGTTCTTACGATTATTTCTTCTGAAAGCAACTTCCCTTTCCCTCTCTTCGTTTTCACTGCTTCATCATTACCCCAAATTAGTGTCCCTTTTCCCTAGAGGAATATTTCATGGACTCTGACTGAGCAAGCATGGAACCATCCGATTGCCTGTCTGTCTTCCCCAGCGATGTCTTGTAGCACATGAAATAAACAAGAGAGAACTTTAAGCGTCAGAAGAAGCGTCAACACCCCCAGATAGGGTCAGATGTGAAGTATGGCTGACACGAAAGAATAAAAATCTGGGATTTCTGGGTTCTAGCTTTTCAATCTCCCTAAACTCCAGACTTGATCTTCTTGAGAAAATCGTTATGACTTATCCCTTCTGGGCCTCACTTTCAACATCTTTAAAAAATAAAAGATATTCATACCTTTCAGCTTGTAGTCTGTGGTGGATGGAGGAAAAGAAGAAGACAGTCGATCGAACTATGCTTTGAGTACTTGTTGAATGACCCTATAGTTATGACATTTGTAGGACTTGAAATGGTAAGGTTATCACCGAAAACAGAATTCAGGCTAACTGGATACTGAATATGGCAGCATTTGCCAACCCCACTACCTGCCAAGGCCCTAAAATTCACCAAAGACAACCAGTAACATTCTGGTTAGAAGTATCTTTACACTAAGACTATTTTTCTGGGCAAAGAAGTTCCATCCCCAACAATAAGACTTATAATCAGAGGCTATTCAAGGTCCAGAGAAAAACCCACGAAAAGGTCCTTGAATAAGGTATTTGTAGCCTCTGAACTATGAGGGAAGCTCATGGAAAAATCTTTCAGCCCTAGCTGTAATCTTCACCCAACTCCCTGTTTTCCCAGAGAGGACGTGACAAGACATGACTTATTGCAGTTACGTGCCTGGGGCGTAGTACCTGCCTAACACATTTCATGACCTATCCCAAACACACCTCAAAAATAACTGCATATTCTTTTCTTCATTGGAATCTACACCCAGCCTACTTCTTTCCTCCTCCACTAAGGTTTTTTTTTTAACTTAAAACAATTTTATTGGTCTTTGAAACAGGTACTTTCTCTTAGCTGTGAAAATTGATACAGAATATGTACCAGAGAAAAAGAACAGAACCGATCACCTCTCTCCTAATTGCCCTTTGCAAAAGATGCAACTTGATTGACAAAAGTTCATGAAATCCACCTTGTGGGTAACCATATAAGATTCTGTGTGGTTTGACTAACTCATTGTAGGATACGTACTTCTCTGAATTCTAAGCCAGAAGTTTTGCTTCCTCTCTTGTGTGTTTTATGGCAACTGACTTGAAATTTTTTTTCACTTAAAATTAATTCAGATATGACCACCGAAAGGTTTTGTTCATTTTTTAGGAATTGTCGGTCGTGGACCAGCGACACTGGCACCCTCAGAGACCATTATTACTATCCACGACTTCCATAGATTTTAGAGTCCCCCCCACCCCCTGCATTATCTCTTTTGATCCTGTTGACATAGACAAAGAATTCAGCTAAGGATCCAGAGATGCTGGGGAAGGAAAAGTCAGGCTGGGGTAAGTGCAGCTTTTACAGCGGTGTGCTTTGTGGTGAGGAGGGAGAGGGTGGGAAATTACCACCTCCCACCGCATTCAGGAACATTTCCGGAAAGAGGTGGAGTTTGAAAGACTTGGTGCTAATTCAAAAATGTGTAATGCCAGCTTTTTTTTGCCTTACTTTATTTATCCAGCTGTGAAACAAAATTAGTTTTGCCATGCTAAAGAACGCATAGCTGGTGAGTTGGATACCCACTTCAGAAGTGGGACACAGCCACCGGCTTCCCTCCTTCAGACTCTCAAGGAAGAAAATTTGAATTCTATCTAGGCTCACCCCATAAAATTGGGAAATTGTTGGTCTACAGGGCTTAATCCCCCCTCCTTCTTTCTCTCAGATTCTCCCTGCTTCTCAGAAAATGCAGCTGTGATGCATGTAACCGATTATGTCTAGAAATCAGACTCCAATGACAGAGCCCGGAAGTGGAAGGAGAACAGGGGCTCTCCTATGATGGAAAAGAATCCGATGACAAGGTCTCATGGAGCAAAGAGAATTCTGGTTAGCTTTTCTTTGGAATTCTATCCCTGCCCTGTGTGTGTATACCTTATCTGTGTTTTTCTGCTTCCTCCCCACCCCCAACCCCAGCCCTCTCCCTCGGCCTTATTTTTCTTTCCCTGTCTACTTTTCCTTTCCCTTAATATTTTTAAAGCTTATTTATTCACTTATTTTGGTAATCTCTACACCCAATGTGGGGTCCAAGTAAGGAACCCAAGGTCAAGAGTCACATGCTCTTCCAACCTAGCCAGCCCGGCACCCCTTTCCCTTTTTACCTCTCTGCCTTCACCCTGCCACTGGCAGCCTTGAGAATTTATTAGCCATGAAAAGTGGTCCTTAGGCCTGAGAAGATTTCATATCAATAAATATATCTTTGGGAGCACAGGGCTGGCTCAGTTGGTAGGGTATGTGACTCTTGATCTCAGGGTTGTGAGTTCAAGCTTCACGTTGAGGGCAGAGTTTACTTAGCAAAGAAAGAAAGAAAGAAAGAAAGAAAGAAAGAAAGAAAGAAAGAAAGAAAGAAAGAAAGA